CAATGGCTCTATAAACAAGCACCAAAGGTCTTGTCCTTCCCTTTCATACATATATGTTTTTCATTGCTTTTTTCTTATCTCAAGAAAAAATTCATGGACATCAGATATGAAATTCTAACTTAAACATCAAATATGGATCTAATTCTGGACAGACTACCTTATTTTCCTGGGATAAGGATTCCATATTTACAGGCAACAACAGTCTCAGCTGCAACTAGTATAGCTGTTTATTGCATGTATATTATGTTCCACATTCTTGACGTGTGCTATATGTAATTCCTGTCTTACAGGTGAGGATGCTGAGAACCAAAAGAGGTCTAATGGCTTTGTCAGAGATAGAAAGTAATAAAGCAGATTTGAACAGGGATCTCTGAATCTGAGGCTCACGTCATGCTGCTATAGCACAGCAATGAGAATTGTGATGCGTGAAGAGAGACCTCTGCTGCAACTTCAAAGAAGAAAAGGGAATTTTAGAGGGAAGATTGGCAATAGCATCTTTAGGTTATGATTCTGGCTACTTTGCAGGAGGCAAAGTGTGGTTGGTAAGAGGAGCTGCAAGTGGAGTCAAATTAGATTTGAATCCCATGTACTAGTAAGTTCTAAAGCCTCATAGCACTGTTTTCCTTTCTCACTATATCAGTATTTTAATTTTTATATTAATTTGTATGGCTGCTTAATCTATATCATGTGCCTATTTGAAGATATTTGAGTGATGGGATTTTCGCTGACCTTTTTATCCCTAGAACCTAGGCAGAGCTAGGCATATAGTAAGTGCACGATGAACATATTTTTTAAAGGACAAATGGATAAGATGGGTGCAGTGGTGTAACCTGTAGTCCAGCTATTGAGGATCCTGAGGCAGAAGGATCACTGGAGCTCAGGAGTTTAAGAGCCATCTGGGCAACATAGTCAGACCCTGACACACACACACACTCTCTCTCTCTCTCTCTCTCTCTCTCTATATATATATATATATATATATATATATATATACACACACACACACACACACACACACACACATACACACATATATGAAAAAAAATTTTCCTGGACTATGCAGTTTTGTATTTTGATAGTAGTAGCTAGCATCAGCAATATGCCCAACACTGTCACTGATTGATCACTAGATGGGTTTTCTTTCCTTTGCCAGAGCATAATAACTGATGGGCAGGGACATTTACTGTAGGATGATTGAATGCCATGGCTTCTAGCATGTGCCAGGCAGAAGGGAGATACTCAGCAAATTGTTATTATACCAGAGAAAACTAAGTGCGTCTGGGGTTTTTCAGACCTTCATGGGCAAAGGGTGGCTAAGATGTTTAGGGAATGTAGGAGTGGAAGTGTGAAAGAAGAATTACTTTCCTCCAGAGAACTAAAAAGCCAACCTGCCCAATACTACAAAGTACTTCTGTTTTTGCCAATTTATACTCTCATCAGCAGTGCCTGAGAGTTCCCGTTTCTCTGCCCCTAGAACTGACATAGTCTATTATTAGCCTTTGGATCATTGTCAGGAGATCATTAGGGTTGTCAGTAACCCTATGAAAGTGCCATTCTTATTTCTGCAGGCTTTGCAATCCTGGATTAAACTGGTCACAAGTCATTGAAGAAACAAGTCTCTTTGATTCTTCCACAATACACAATAGCTGACATTCCAGCACCCCTCAATATCCTCCATGAATTGGATGTGTTTCATGAGTCCCTAGCAAAGGTCTTTCTGTTACCCATGGTCCCCCCATTTTCTTCTCTCTCACATTGTCCATGTCAACCCTGGCACCACAAGCATGCACCCCTGCCTGTGTCACAGCAATCAGTAAGAATTATATAGTATTTGTTGATGCTGTTCTGTGCCATTGACCCATCACAGAGATTTTAGAGTGATGGTTCCTTCAGGTTTTTATCAATACAGGGTTGCTAGTGAACTTGCAAATACAGGAGAACATAGACTAGACAGTCCTTCACTGCTTCCTTACAAGGTTTTCTTGTGCCAATATTTACCTATGCACATACATCATCCTAATAAAATTCAATTCTCCACAGAGCCAGTCTGTGAATAAAGTTAAAGTCAAAGAAATATTAATTAGAAAGCATTTCTGGTCCTTGTACCCATCTCTTGAAAACCCTTAATGGCCCCCGATGCACACCACACGCTACACTTCTCAAACTGCTGGAGAGGTCTCATGTGAGAGATCACAAGACTCTTTTTCTGCCCCAGTTTGTGTGTATTTCTTTGCCCTCTCTCCTTCCTTCTTTTCTCTCTTCACTGTGTAGACAAGCACATCCTTGCGCTAATGCTTGCAGCTTCCATCCTCTTCCCGGGCAGCTAAACCCTTAGTGTGTGGAAGGAGAATAAGTTTGAGGAAAGGTAGGAATAATCACATTGTAATAAATCCTTCTCTGTCTACCTTGCATCCAATTTTATTTCTACATTTTCAGTATATATAGAATCCTACTAAATGTACTAAACAGCGATTGGCTTTTTATTTAATGTTCATATATACTGTATTAGTATCTATTCCTGTCAAAAATTACTCCAAACCTTAGGGGCTTAAAGCAACAAGCATTACTACTGCATGATTGGGTGGATGAGTTTCAGATGCAACTTCTTTGGGCCACCCTGACTCCATGTCTCTCAATGCTGTAGCAGCCAAACTTTTGTCTGAGGCTGTGATCTCTTCTGAAGGCTCCATGACAGTGAGATGGGAGTCTTCTTCCAAACTCATGGATATGCTTGTTGGAGGGCTTCTGTACTTTGCCACATGGGTCCACACACAGGTTGGTGGTTTGACTCAGGATATGGCAGCTGGCTTTGCCCAAAGTGATGATCCCAGAGAGATTGCACCCAAGATGGAAACCAGAGTCTTTTTGTTACCTAATCTTGGAAGTGACACCTTATCACTTCTCTCATATTCTGTTTATCAGAAGACAATTGGCAGGTCCAACCTACTCTTGAGGAGGAAGTGTTACACAAGGACGTGAATGCTAGTGAGCAAGGCTCACTGAGCACCAACAGAGATGCCTAGCATGTGGTACACCTCACTTTTTAACTATGGCACAGTATTTCAAAGTTTATATGAACTAGACTTTTTCAACTATCAGACATGATTTATTTTTTTTATTTTCACTTTCTTTTATTAAATTGGTTGTGCTTTTTTTCTAATGCTTTAGAACTTACATATTATATTTATATTGGTTAATATTAATTTTTAACATTGTCAGGATTTTTATTTTGCTACCTGTCCTGAGAATAAGATAAGACTCTTGGCATACTTTAACTCCTTACCTACATCTTCGTTTTCTTAAAATCACCTGAATTCTTAACACTAGATCCAGGATATATAATATTATGGTACTAGACACACATAAAGCTCTTCAGAAGCACTGAAGATGTGGTTGGTCTGCATTGAGATGTGCTGTAAATATGAAATATATGCTGGATTTCAAACACAAAATAAAATATATTGTTAATAATTCTTACACTGATTGAATTTTGAAATGATAAGATTTGGGGCATACTAGTTTAAATAAAATACAGTATTAAAATTAATTCAAATTGTTTATTTTGCTCTCTTTAATATAGCTCCTCAAAACTTTTTACAATTATTTACATAACTCATATTTACAGCTTACATTATATTTCTACTGAACAGTGCTGCTATGGGTTGTAGTAGTAGTTTTTATTTTTAATGTAATGACTTTATATTCTTAGGAATAATTTCTTAGAAATTGCCTTAAGCTTTTAATCCATATTTTCAAAAACTGTTTGGACTTAAATTTAAGTTTTATTGGTGTTTTCTTTTCATTTTTCCTTGTGTCTCATGACTGTCTCTTTCTTGGATTTATTGTTTATTTTGGTAACTTCAACCTTAAGTTATTCTTTCATATAGAGTCTGTGGAGATCAACTTTTAAAGTCCTTATCTATCTGAAAATATTTTTCTCTCATTCTTGATTTTGCTTGGCTGGATAGAGAACTGCTCTGTTTTCCCTTACAATATATTGTTGGTAGTTCTGATCAATATAGGTAATCTGCTCCCTTTTTTCTGATTGTAAGGTCTCAGGGCTTTCTCTTTATTCATACAGCTCAGACTTTTCAGTAGAATGTGTCAAGCGCTGCTTTTATTTTTTCACTTCTTCTGCTTGGTTCTGGGAGGACCCTTCTAGAACAGAAGACTCTCATTTCTTCAGTGATGTCTCTAAAAAGCTGCTCGAGAGGTCTAAAAAGCATCCCACTGTTTATTTTCATCTTTTCTAAATCTCTGGATGACCTATCATAAGCTTGTTAGGACTTTAGAGCTGTCCTCCAGACTCATTTCTTTCTCTCCCATTTGCCATCATTCCAGCAGAACCCCTCTGCCCAGTCTTCCTTTGATTAGATCTTCATTGGAGTCCATTCTTCTGTTCTGATACTGATAGTTTTGTTGGTTGGTTTTCTGTTTGTTGTTGTTGTTGTATCTGCCTTTCCTCTTCATTCTGTACTTCAATAGGAATTGAAGAGGAAGAATCCGTCAAAGACTTTCAGGGTCACTGTGAATTGTATTCTTCCAGTTTGTGTTTATTCTTTTATTTATTATTATTTCTTAGTTTTTTGGACATGAAGTAGGATTTATTGTTGGACTGAGTGAGAAAGGGGCAACACAGAGAAAGTCTTCTTGAGTGCAGGCTCTACCACTGGCCCAGGGGACCATGACTGGGAAAATTTGATAAAATAACCATCTTAGCCACCATTTCTGCTAATTAACCTGTATTAAACTTGGTAAAGCCCACCAATTTGGGATGTAGATGTTCTGGTGGCCAAGGAACTTAGACTTGGCCACCAGAAGGGCCTCAAACACATGTCCCTTGTTCTGCAGCTTGGTGCATGCAGAACTGATGACTTGGCCAATGTGAACTCTGGCCATCATGCTCTGGAACTTCCCCCAAATGCACCCTGCATACCTGTCTAGACCTGAGATAGGACACAGCACAGGATCAGACAGAGACAGGAATGGGTTTTGGAAAGGGCTATCTCCATGGTCCTTCAGGGTGACCTACACAAGCTACAGGCTGCCTACTCTTCTGAGGAGGTTACTATTTGCAGCTTTGCACACTAGGATCCCAGTAGCAAAGGAGTCGGTTAGTTTAACTGGCTGAAGATGCTCTTTTATTGAAGATTTAGAGTTCTTACCCATAGTGCTTGACTAGAGGACAATCTGCTGGCAGAGAACATAGTGTGTCACCCACCTACCCTTCTCTATGAACTGGAAGATCATCCTTAGATCAAGCTTGGATATCTCAACTCTTGTCTTGAAATTCATTATTTCCTAGATGTACTCTGTATTTCTCATGTAGAAGTTCTCAAACTAGCTGCAAGTTAAAATATTTTGTTTTGTTTATTTTAGTTGTTATTTTTATTATGATAAAATGCACATTACATAAAACTTATAATTTTAACCATTTTAAGAGTATAATTCAGTGATGTTTACCACATTTGCAATTTTGTACAACAACAATTAAAGTATTAATGACCCCATTCACAGGGGATGTGTTAGACAGCTTTTGGCTGCAAGTAACAGAAAATGCAGTCTAAACAATAAGGACACATTTTTGTCACCCTAAAGGGAAACCCAAGTTTTATAATATACTTAGACAAACAAGAAGGTTTAAGCTCTAATTTCCAAATGCCTCCAAATTTGGGGATGGGGAGTTGAGAAGGGTTCTACAGTAACTGTCATCTTCAAAACGGATTTAATAAATGGTCACTTGTCTGTGGACTCAGAGATGACAAAAGTGTCTCTGATACTTGGCTACAAAAAAAGTACTCAATTCTCCAGTGAGCTAGAAACTCAACCACTTGCAGTACTGAGACAAATAATCAAACATGATGACATGCCAGTAATATAATACCATGGTAAATTAAATCTTGCAGTAATGGGGCTGGGGATGTGGCTCAAGCGGTGACGCACTTGCCTGGCATGCGTGCGGCCCAGGTTCGATCCTCAGCACCACAAACAAATAAAAATGTTGTGTCCGCCAAAAACTAGAAAATAAATATTGAAAAATTCTCTCTCTCTCTCTCTCTCACTCTCTAACTCTCTCTTTTTTTAAAAAAAATAAATAAATCTTGTATTGATCACTGTGTTTTTAATATTCCATTCAATAAAGGCCTTTCTACTTGACACTTTTTCTTTGAATTCCAATAGTCAGTTAAATACAAGTAGGTGAGTGAGCCCAGGTTTTATAGATTAGCATCATAAACAGAAACTGCAGCCATGTTAAAGCCTTGAACGGATAAGTATGGACTAATTTCTTTTCTAATTTTTGGACACAAAGAGGTGGATATTTAAGCATTCAGTAAACTAATGTATCATACCTGACACTTATTATACATCAAATACCTTTCAAAGAGCTTTTTAACAGTCCCGTGAAATAGTCAGAAAAGTATTAATGACCCCATTCACAGGGGATGTGTTAGGCAGCTTTTGGCTGCAAGTAACAGAAGAAGCAGTCTAAACAATAAGGAACATTTATTATATCACAGAATTATTACAAATAGAAATAAAATTGATTTTCCAGAGGAGGAGAAAGCCAATTAAAATACTAGCTGACAGGATAAAATTTGTGTATCTATCATTTATCTATAACTTACAAAGACAATAAACATTACTATAATCCAATACCTTGGAAGGATACATCACAGAAAATGTGTGTTTTCTACTTAAAGGCAAAATTTTTTTCCCATATCACCAAAGATGCTATTTACTGGGCAGGATTCTTTGTTGTTGTTGTTTTATATGTTTGCTTGCTTTGTTTAGCTATTTGGAGATTTAAAGATGGGAACTGGCCACATTTAGAACTATTATGTCTTTCCATTTCTGGGTCACAAATTCTTTTTAAAAAAACCTCTACAGGCTGCAGTTGTGGCTCAGTTGTAGAGCGCTTGCCTAGCATGTTTGAGGCACTGGGTTTGATCCTCAGCACCACATAAAAGTAAATAAATAAAATAAAGGTATTGTGTCCATCCACAACCAAAAAATTAAAACAAAATCTCTAAAACCAAAAAATTGTTGCACACTAGGCTCAAATATCACAGAGCCCATGAGAATCCAAGTGACACTGTCATAAGGAAGGACACCTCAGGGGTCAGAAGCTGGATAAGCTCCAATCCACCTTCTTTTTGAAGAAGCCCTTAACACCAGGTGGCCGAGTTCAAAATCCGGTTCCTGGTGAGAAGGTCTTGGAATCTTGGCAAAGCAGTTTGTGGAAACTTAACAGGTCAGGAGGAGTCAAAGAGCACTGAGGGATATGAAGTCAAGGAGGAGGGGGCATGTACTGTTCTCCCACAGCATGACTAGCCTTTTAAACTTCCACTCCATTTAATGCTATATGAGGGTGTGCTGGGTACCATGCTCTGGCCACATTCTCTACTGTTTCTTCCTTTGTGCCAGGACTGCACAGAGGTTCTTCAAGCATGCTCTGCAGACTCGATGCGATTGTTTGTTGCCTTGTGAGCGAAACTAGCCACCTTTTCTTGGAACATTATTTTGACTTAAAAGAAATATTGGCAGAAGAACAATGGTTATTTGGCAGTGCACAGTCTAGCAGGAGAATATTCTGGTATCCCAAGAGGCTAATAAAATATTTTTCCTTGTTTAACAACATACCTGTGCAAAGCCCGATTGTTTTCAAACAAAACAATGAATAGTAACAAATTCGATTCAGAAACAGAAATGAGAATTCAGTTGCCTTCCATTGAGTCAGATTTCTAAAAATGTAAAATAGTGCCACTCTTCTCAGAATTTTTTCTTTTGATTTGGGGAAATAAAAATGTTTATGCTGATATTTTCTGAGTTTATTGTTTTTATATGTATGGGTAATATTTAAAAGTTTATCAGTATTATTGTCAAGTGTGATAAATAATACAATTTAACCTATATAACCAAAAGTTCTTCACAGTCCTCAATGATTTTAGTGTAAGGAAGACTTGTGACCAAAGAAATTGAAAATCACTAATTTAACAAAGTGAGATACAAGTCATTCTGAATTTATAGTGAGTAGCATCGTTTCACTTAGGTAATAAATAAGCTTGGCCATTACCAGCATTGTGAACTCAGGCAAGCCTTCAGCTTTTTTATGTTTGCATTATGTTAAATTTGAGAATTTAGGGAGGACTTAGGAAATTTGTTGTAATGGTTAATTTCATGTATAAACTTGGTGGGGCTAGGGTGCCCTGATGTTAGATCAAACATTCTGGATACATCTGAGAGTGCTTTTTGTAGATGACGTTAACATATTAATCAGCAAACTTTGAATAAAGCTTTTTTTTTTTTTTTGTACCAAGGATTCAACTCAGGAGCACTTGACCACTGAGCCACATCCCCTGCCCCATTTTGTATTTTACTTACAGACAGGGTCTCCTGTGTTGTTTAGCACCTTGCTTTTTCTGGGGCTAGCTTTGAACTCACAATCCCCTTGCCTCAGCTTCCCTAGTGGTTAGGATTATAGGTGTGCACCACTGCACTCAGTTTGAATAAAGCTTATTACCCTCAATAATGTAGGTGAGTCTCATTCGTTCAGTTGAAAACCTTAGTAGTATAAAGATTCTCTCTCTCTCTCTCTCTCTCTCTCTCACACACACACACACACACACACACACACACAAACACACCCCTAAACAGGAAGGAATTCTTCAGCAGATGGCCTTTAGACATGAACTGCAATATCAGCTCCTCCTGGATCTCAGCCTGATGGCCTGCCCTGTATGTTTTGGATTTTCCAGCCTCTATAACTGTGAGGCAATCCCTAACATAAATCTTTCTTGCCAAACATATATACACACACAGCTGTTTCTCTGGATAAACCTAACTAATACATTAGTCTTCTCAAATATAAAGGATTTACAATAACAGTAAATAAATTCTTGGTGGGGAAGGAATTAAAAATAAAGGGACATAAAAATGTTTAAAGTTTTATTCATCATGTTAAGTAAATATATAAACTATGTTGAAATAGCACCAATAAACATATATATTACTTATATAAAGTCATGGTTTTAAACCTAAGGCCTATGCCTGGCAAATCACAAAATAGTTGACATTGACATACTTCTCCTTGCTCCTCCTCAGCCCTTTTCAGGGGACTTCCCCATCCCCCAGGACTTAAGCATTCACATTTTTTCAGTTTCTTTAATTTTGTGAAACTATTTCCAAGTAAGGTGTTAATGACTTTATACCTCCTAAAACAAGTTATATGTTAAATGGCATCTGAAAAGAAAGAGGAATGTTCAGCCCATGAAAGTAATTGATTTCTAACAGTCAGTGTGAAATCTGTAGTACCTGAGTACAATGAGGCATGTGAGGTAAGGGTCTTTCTGAGGGCTCTCAGATTGGGCAAAGGAGTTCACCCCCCCTGTATTTGACACATCTTTACAAAGTACTCTCGAGGTGGCACAGGTATAGCAATCCTAACTTTGTACCTAGCACAGTAAAGCAGATAATGTGCATGGAGAGTGATGATGTAAGATACTGAAGAACGGGTAGTGGCTGTCATCTGACATCAGCTCATGGGACAGAGCATCATGTATGTCCTTGCTGAGAGCCATAGCCAAGTAGAAATGACGCATGGCATTTTGGGTTGAAAGGTGACCCTGCTCAGGGATTAGGGTGGCTCCGGGTTTAGGGTGGATCCTGCTGGGAAAAGGGCGGCTCCAGGTTTAGGGTGGATCCTGCTGGGAATAGGGCTGCTCCAGGTTTAGGGTGGATCCTGCTGGGATTAGGGCATATCCTGCTGCCTCAGGCGCCTGCTCCTTTGGAGTTCCCATTGAGTTCTCACGGGGGTTCTGAGAGAATTGGTGCGCGGAGCCGAGTGGAGGCAGGGTGTTCACGGGAAGAGTGCTTAGAGTGCCGGTGAGAGTTCAGGAATAAAGAGTTGCTGTTTGAATCTACAAGGCTTTGTGGTGGCTCAGTTATTTTGTGCCCAGCCAGACTGCAGCATTTGGTGGCCTGTACGGGGAACGCCTGAAGCTTGGAGGTAAGTGAAATTGCTCGCCCCTGAGGAAAGGCGAGAGAATGGGTGACCATTTCAAAAAACAATGTGTTCTTGTTTTGATTTATTTTGTTTTTGTTTCAAGCTGCCTATCCCTAGAACTTTCTCAGGC